AGAGAAAGGTGGTATGACCTTTGACTGGGATGTCAAAGAAGGCTTTCCAGAGTAGGTGTCTCTTGATAAGGTCACCAAAGTAGGAAGGGAACTGGGAAGTACATTTCAGGCCACCAGGGATGAAAACTTTAGAGAAAACCACACATATCACTGTCATCCCTCTCTGTCTCTGTAATTTTCCCAGATGTGTCCCCAGTATCTAACACAGGGACTGGTGAGCCCTCAGTCAGTAGAATGCACATACCAATTCAGAGATTGCCCTTGATCTCCCTTGGTCCCCAGGGAGATGGTGTGGCCTTGTCTCTTTGTAAGGGGAATTTCTGGGTCAAGGTACCACCAGGCTCTGTAGTAATGTTCCCTCTGTTCCTGAGCTGAAAAAGTGGATTAAGGTTTGAGGATTGGAGCCCCAAAGCTGAAGTTGCTGGGACCTCCACCCTCGGAAGGGCGTGGAGTTGGCCTCTTGGGTTACAGATGTGCCCCAGCTGGACTCAGGGCCTCCCTTCTCTCTCCCCAGTGTTTATTGCTGTTCAGCCCTGTCTCAGAAGAGCTGCTGAGTCAGCTTTCTCTGACTGGGCCAGCCCTTGGAGCCAGGCTGTCCTGTATCTCTCACACTATCCACCCCTTAGATAAACAGCCTGGCATCCTCCACACACTGCGAGGTTCTGATGTGGTTGCAAAGGGCTCCATTAACCAAATGCCTCTCTCTCTGAAGGACCCTGGCAATGGGCCCTGCTTTTTTTCCAGCCTGAGTCAGGCCTTTGCTGGAGTGACAGGAGAATCCACTTCCTGCCTGAAAAGGTGGCCTCAGCAGAGGTCTCTGCTGGGCGGAGCCTTCCTTCCTCGCTGCCCATGTACCCAGGCTTCCTCCTCACTGAAGGCCTGGGCAGGCCTCTCCCTGAGACAGCCCTCCTTAGCCTTTCATGTGAGTGTTTTATCTGTCGAACCCAGCCCTGCAAATTGCGCACTGACCAGGTTACAGAGCCGCTTTGCAGCCTGCCTGGTCTCCTGGGTGGGGTGACATTTGGATTGCATATCAAACATGGCCCCAGATGTTTGTTCCACTCTGCCCTAGATGTTGAACGCTGCAGCTTTGCGAGCCCGCCACACTGAGTAAACTCAGCTGGGCCGCCTTTATTTGGTTTGTTCTGGAGTCTGAAGAAGGGGATTTTCTTTCTTTGAAAGGTGACCTGTGGGCAAAGAGAGTATCACGGGCAGCTGGTGAAGGGTGGCCTTGGGGACGACCCAGAGGGCAGACACCAGGCTCTGCTGACTTAGCAGTGAGAGGTGTGGCCGGCTGGGCGCTCATGGTTCTGGACAGGACCTATTGACCCAGTACTCTCAGCAGATGGGCTCGTCTTGGCCCCAGGAGGGCCCACTTTAAGCCAGAGGTGGGGGAAGAGGAGAGAATCTGTTACAGAAGAAGGAGAGGCCAATTGCAAAGCATCCTTGAGAGGTCTTTTGGGGGAAAGCTTAAATCTGCAGGCTATCAGATGATCCCTGCCTTCTGGGAGGCACATGGACCTATCGAGGGAATTCAGACTGCTCTTTAGCGGGAAAGGCACAGGGAATGTGACTGTCACTCTGCCAAGCTGGCTTTACCTCCTCCAGGAAGCCTTCCCTGACCTTCTCCTTCAGCTCCCACGTCCTCACTATTCCCCGTCACTCCAGAACTTGCTCGTCTGTCTCTAGCACCAGAATAAAGGTTCACAGACTTCCGGGTGGGACCCAGGAAATGGCATTTTTAACAAACACCCCCTCCCCCCAGGTGACTCAGGTATGGACAGACTTCAAACTACACTTTGAGGACCATCTTGCTGTAGAGTGGCCTGTCCCAATAGAAATAGAATATGAGCCACAAATGTAATTTTACATTTTCTAGTAGCCACTTAAAAATGTAAAACAGGTGAAATCATTTCTAAAGTATTTTTCATTTAACCTGATATATGCCAAATATCATTTCAACATGCAGTCAACACACAAATTGTTAATGATATTTGAAACCTGGTCCACAGACTGCAATTTTAGCACAGCTCAGTGGAAATGCAGGTTCTCGGGCTCCTGCTCAGACCTACTGAATCGGATCCTCATTTTTTAACGTGTCAGCAGAGGCTTCGTATGTGTGTTGAAGGCTGGGAATCTCTGCTTCAGATCTAGATCGTGACCTCCTTCGTGTCAAGACTGTGATTTAACTTATTCATAGCACCTACAGGGGGCCTAGCATCTAGAAGGTACACAGTATGTTATTGGAGGAGAGGAGTGAATGCTTGAATCCTGCCCTCCCACCCCCACCCGCCCCTTGGAGGCACATTCCCATGCACCGTTCATGACAATCTCAGAATCTCAGGTCTGAAAAAGAATTTAGGAGTCAGAGAACAGAGGTGTGTGAGAGCTGATAAGGAAATTTAAAGTTTCTGTAGCCCCACCGAGCCCCAACTTGGGTAAGTCCCACAGCTTATTGGGTATACCTGGCACCTTCTTTCAGGAGAAAAGTGGTTTGAGAGGGCACATCACACCAGGGCGTGTTGCTGTCCTGCCTTCCTCTTCGGGTGTCTCCATCTCCTTCCTCAGGAGTTCTGTGGAGCCATTGCTCAGAGGCCCAGGTCTGGCCTACACAGAATTGTTACCCATCTGTTTCTCAGCCTTCTTCTGGGTAGGATTTCAGGCACCTATAAATATGCATGGATTTCCAAAAATTGAAACAAAAATAGAAAAAGTAGTAAAGAAGTGTGCGTGGATGGGTGGCCTAGGATCTTCACTATAGTATTACACGTAGTAGAGAAAAGTCAGCAACAGCCTAAATATCCAACAGCAGGGGAGTAGCTAAGTAAACCATGGCCCATCCAAACACTGAATTCTGTGTCTCAGTTAAGAATGCTGGTGTGGAAGCATTCACCGATGTGGGAAAGCGCTCATGACATGGTGTGAGCGTATTGTGCCGAGCTCACTTTATTTCCATGCACGGAAGAGTGCCTGGAGAGGATATCCATCCCAAAATATTAATGTTGCTTTTGCAGGGGGGAGGATTATGAGCGATTCTTGCTCTCTTTGGACTAACCACTGCTTCTATAACTTCTAGTTTTTCCCCTCAGTGAACATGAATTATGTGATACAAAAATAAAATTCACAAAATAGCATATGGGCTAGGAAAACGGGAAAAGAGAAAATCGGAGTCCTACTCTGTGTAGAATTTATTTGAAAGTGCATTGATTTTTGTAAAGTCCTAACTACCGGTTTATAGCATTACGGCACAGTGACCCTATTTACATGCAGCAGGCAATTCTTAAGTGTTTGAGAGCTGGACTTATAGCGTTAGGGTTTGAAAATTCATGAGCCAGCTTTTCTTCAATTGCAGCCTGTATTCAGGGAAGTGAAAATTAATAATGGTGCAGTCTCTGTTTTGTTTCGGATGGAATCCGACAGTGACCCGCCCTTCACGTGTGGGCTCTAAATAGCCTGTGTACGTTGGATAATGATTGTGCAAGAGAGAATCCTCGAGTCCTGTTAGAGCCGGATGGGTGGTGGGCAGGAATATGTGCACTTGCACACACACGTGAAATCTAGCCTAGGACCACTTTCACCACCTCCAGCGCTTGCACTTTGATCCAAGCCGCCATCAGTAGGATCCTAACTGGTGTCCCTGCTTCCCCTCTGGCCCATTCCCCACCCTGTAGCTGGAGCCATCCTCTTGGTGATCTGGCCTGTCCTGCCTCTTGGTTCTTGTCGCCCACCCTTGGGCCCCTCACTCACTCCGCTCCAGCCACGCTGGCCTTTTCAGGCCCTTTGCCCTTCCTGTTTGCCCTGCCTAGAGTCACTGCACTTCCCTGTCCCCCTCCCACATGGCTTGCTTCCACACTGCCTGTGGTCTCCGCTGAACTGTCTTCTGACTCGAGTTTCTCACCACCCTGTATAAAATAACAACCAGGTTCTTTTTCAACACCTTGTCCTAATTCATTTGTCTGCATAGCACTAATTCTGCCAACAAAGCACATGCTTATTTGTTTACTGTTTGTCTCTCTCCACTAAAATGTAAACTCTCTGAAGGCAGAGGCTTTATTTCTCTCCTTTACTGCCCTTTCGTTAGTGCCCAGTGTACCAAGTAGATGCTCAATAAATATTTGAAGGAAGGGATGGACTTCAGATATCATGTGACTGGTCTTCCTCATTTTACCAATGAGGCGCCCGCGGGTCAACTGAGAAATCTCTGGAGCTTTGGCCAAGGTCACACAGCTGGGTCCGCGGGGCGAGCTAGCCCTGCCTTCTCCACTCCGCTCCAGCTCTGCTTGTGCCTCGGAAGGGAGATCAACCACACTCACAGGGGCCGTGGCCGCGGCCATCCTGTCTCCTGTGTGTTTTTCCAGTTTATACAGAATTCGGCCCAGAATAGCAGAAGAAAAAAAAGTTGTTCCTCCAGAACCCTGGAAACTCTTCCAGTGGGTCTGTCCTTGGAAAAACAGCGATTTCAGGGTAGGAAGGTAGGAAATGGAGGAAGGGTTTCTTCTAGCCTTGGGGGCAAGGGGCCGGATTTGGTTTTATAATTAAAATAGCAGCTGTTTCTGGAAGGTGGGTTTATCTGAAGTATCAGGAGGGGTCTTCCCCTGTCTTGGCCCAGGAGGGCTTGGGATGGCAGGTGGCTTAAGGACTCACCTAGCATATGACGTAAAGAAACTGGGCCCAAAGAAACCTCTGGAAACCCCACTTGCAACCTGGCCTGAAAACCTGCTGAGCCCTACCCTGCTCTCGCTCGGGGTCATCTCCAGACACCTCTCCTTGGACCCCCATCCCTCCTTGAGATTGCTCAGATACCCCTTTTGATGCACAAAGAGCTCTGGCCTCCTCCCTCTCATGCCCCATGTGGTTTGGTAATCGTCTGTGAAATGAGGGATTTGAGGCGTCACTCATCCGTGTGAGGACAGTGGGGCCCGGAGCAGCGGAGTGGAGTGGGGAAGGGATGCTGAAGGCTGTTCCAATTCTGAATCTTCTCCCTCTGTCTGGCTTCCCAGATGCAGCTTTTGGATAAGTTTCCCATCGAAGGTGGACAGAAGGACCCTAAGCAGAGAATCATTCCCTTCCTCCCAGGTAAGCTTTGGATGGCCCTGCTGATGGGATGGGGGGGCACTCTGGGAGGGCCATTCTTAGGCCAAGAAAAGGCTAGCTACTAAGCCAGAAATTCTGGGCAGGGCAGGCCTAGGAATCTGCATATTAACAGTTCCCCAGAGGATTAGAAGTCCCTGATTTTGAAGGCCACTGTCCTCTAGGAGCCTCTCCCACCATTCCATCATTCAGGTCATGTAACTTCTGAGGCATTTCTCAAGCTCTTGGACTTAAAATATATACGTATATCTTTATTGATTGCAGAGAGAAGAAGGGAGAGAGAGATAGAAACATCAATGATGAGAGAGTCATTAATCAGCTGCTTCCTGCATGCCTCCTACTGGCCCACAACCCGGGCATGTGCCCTGACCAGGAATCGAAAAGGGATCTCCTGGATTCTAGGTCAGTGCTCAACCACTGAGCTGCGTTGCCGGGCAAGCTCTTGGACTTTAGGTCCTTTTTACAAAAAGCACAGAGGTCAAGTTCTTCTATAAAAGGATAAAACACTGCAGGCAGAACTCTTTTCACTGACTCCCATTGTAATCATGGAGAACCTTACGCTGAGCACACTTCTGTGTTGGATCTCCTCCTGTCCTCCCGGCACTGTTATCCAGGCCAGGCTCCATGCCCTGCCTGGCTCTGCGCTGCCTCGAGGGAATTTGGAATGTCCAACACCCAGGTTTGTAATGAGCTCAGGTGTTGCTCCAGTAGAGGCCAGATGCTCTGCCCACCAGGGGCCTGAGAGCCCAGCTGGGGTGCTGTGGACACAAGTGCCCCAGAGCCAACATGAAGCCAGTGGGTGCCCTGGTGCTGGGGTGGACCTGGCCTTGGGCATGAAGGCTGCCTGTTTGCTCAAGAAGGGGCCAGCGCTCCAGGGAAAGAGCACCTCAGTATTGTTCAGTCCATGAGAGTTGATGAATGGCTCGGGCTGGGACTGACTGATGAGTCCGGGGAGATCTGAACTTGTTTCTGTCCTCTAAGGAATCCTCAAGCAAGTGCAAGAGACAAGACATACTCCCCATTTAGAGAACCAGTTAAGACAGGAGGTGACTCTCCACCACTGTGAAATTCCAGTTCTGATTGGAGAAGGAGCTCATGGTGAGCTGAGGAAGGCCTCCTGAAAGGCGGGGGCCTGGAGCTGACCTGGAAGCCTGGGTGAGGTTAGAGGGTGGGGCAAAGCACAAGGCTTCCATCCCACTGCCACCCTAGTCCAGTGTCTTGGGGGGTCACATTGCCTGGCTTCACCCCTGGAAACCCTGGCTCTGGTAGTTATCAAATGTTCTTTATGTCTCAGTTTCCTCATCTGGAAAGTGAGGGTGATAATACCAGTGAAGTTATATCCCCATTTTACTGACCAGGAAATTGAAGCCAAAGGAGGCTAACAGACTTGCACAAGCCACATGGCTAGGGAGCGGAGCCAACACCAGAGCTCTCATCTCTGCCTTCTGGGCCAGGGCTGCCCTCCACCCAGCCTCCCCAGGAGAGGATAACCTTACGGTTGCTGCAGGACCAGGGGCCTCCCTTACAGGTACTCCTATGGCATGTGGTGAAGATGCAAAGAATTCGTGTAAAGCACTTTGCACAGTGCTTGTCCTGTGGTAAATGCCCAATAAATGACAGCTGCCCACAAACAAAGTCACCTGCCCTCATGCCACCCCCAGCTCCTGGGAAAAAGCAAGCGTAGGACCCCTTTCAGCCCCCATATCACGTGACCTGCGCATAGTGCATGATACTGTCTAAAGCAGCAATTTTCAGTTGGTGCACCGCAAGAATTTTTAAAACATGCAATACCTGACTATTTAGTCAGGGACACTGACCTCTTTTCCCTTAGATGGTCAAATAAAAAAAATGACAACAGCCAACACAACAATAGCCATCTGGTGTAAATGAATCAAAATTATACCTTTTTTTTTTTTTTTTGGTCAGATCGACAAAAAATGTATTTTTTGGTGTGCCCCAGAATTTTAGTAATTAGTTTATGTGTGCCATGAGATGAGAAAGGTTGGAAATTGCTGGTCTAGAGGAATGAGGTTGGCTGGTCCCCCACTCCCATTCCATCCCACAGGATGTTTCGCCGCCTTTCCCCCCTGCCTTCGGTGTGGTTTGTTCTCTGAGGCTCTTCATAATTTTGCTGACCATTTGCAATCCCACCCTGGAGTTTCCAGGCCCTATTCCTGGCTCCCCCTTACCCCCACTAGAAAATACCTTAACCCTTTCATGCTCTACTCCTTGGACAGGACTTCAGAAGCCAGGCAGTGGAGCAGAAAGAGGTGAAAAGTTATGGGCCTCATGCAGAACAGGCAGTTCTTCAGCAAGGCATCCCAGGAAAGAAAACCCAAGTGGCTTCCTGTGCAGGACTTTTATTGTGGGGCTGGACATATACTTGCTGATTGATCATGAATCGGGCATTCTCCCTTATACACAGATACCTTTTATTGAGCTCCTACTGTGTGCCTAGTCTTGTTTTAGGTACTCTACAAATCTTCTGTCCTGTTCTCATTGCAGGGTAGTTAGCATTTCCCCCATTTTAGAGAGAAATGCAGTGGCAGAGCTGGACTCCTGCCTATAGAGCCCTGTGCCTTTCCTTGGGCAGGGAAGAACTGCCACAGCCAGCCTTAGCTAGATTGTCTCTGTCCCTCCTTCCCCGCCTCCACATCTCCCAGGCTAGGGACCTGGGAGTTTCTGCCAGAGGTCCCTCCAGCTGCCCTTGCTGTCCTGTGCTTCAGGAGTTCACCATGTGGGGCAGGAAGGTGACCTGAATCTCATGGGGACTCTGTGACCTGTAAGGGCTCTCTCATTCCATTGAGTGGCTGAGGTCACCCATGCTAAGTAATTGATTTTTTTTCTTTTTGGCAATGAAACCATTTAGTTAATTATTATTGTAATGTGATTGCTAACAGGATAGCCCCAAGGCTTTCAGAGCCCTGTCTTCATTTAATTATGAATCTAATAAGATTGGCTATTTGGTTTCCTAAGTCACAACATTTTTAAAAAAACTTTTTGTTTTGAAATAAATATAGACTCACAGATGTTGCAGAAATCCTAGGTACTTTACAGGCTTCCCCCTCAATCCTACCACCATTCTCTGTAGAGTAGGTGGCATCATTCCCAATTTAGGGAGCTGACAGATCACTTCTACCCCACACATTGCCCAGCTAACACCAGTGGCAGTATCTCATGTAACTATAGTGCATTATCAGACCCAGGACACTGATATTGGCATGACTCAGTTGGCTATACTACAGGCCAAAGTGATTAATTTTTATTATATGAAGGTGGAGAGTGCTATGAAGCAAGCATGCCAGCTGGTGTGTAGGAAGAGGCAGTGGTTGGACAGTAGTCCCCGAGAAGCCCCACCCTTGGGCCGGAACTCTTGGCATTCCCACCTCCAACCAAAAAGCAAGAATGAACTGTTCTCATATTAAGGCATAGTCCTGAAAACTTCTGTGCAAATTCAGCTCTTTGGGACAAATCACACCATCTTTTAGGTGTCCTAAATTCTATTCTGTTTAAGAGGCATGTAATAAATCTTTTTGCAAAGCAGAGCGCCCTTTTAAAGAATAATAATAATTCTCCCTTTTTTTACATATATTTTTATAACTTGGGGCTTCTTCTAAGTTTGCTGGAAAGAGGGAAGATCTGGAGCTTAGAGATTGGGCATCAACCCCAGTAGGAGCAGAACTACTCCACCCAAGAACTGTAAAAGACCTGAGCCCTGGCCAGTGTGGCTCAGTTAGAGCATCAACCCATGCACCAAAGGGTCATGGGTTCGATTCCTGATCAAGGGCACGTATTTGGGTTGCAGGTTCAGCCCCAGTCAGGGCACATGCGGGAAGCAACCAATCGATGTGTCTCTCTCACATTGATGTTTCTCTCTCTCTCTTCCTCTCTCTCTCCCTGTCCTTCCCTCCCTTCCACTCTCTGAAAATCAATGGAAAAAAATACCCTGGGGTTAGGATTAACAAAACAAAACAAAGAGCTGCGACTTAACCCTTTTTGCATGTCAATTAAGTTAGCTTTCCCCGGTTTCCTGAATGCCAACAGAAAACCAGAGACTCCTGGGTCAGAGACAAAAAACTATTACAGCACAGCTAGCAGTGTGAAGATCAGCACATTTGCATCAGTTCCCATTGCCTCCAAGTCCCATTGCCTCCAGTTCTCATTGTCCCCAAGTCCAAGGAGCCCAGATGAATACCTGCACATTTAGTGGATTACCTTACCGGAGAAGTACCCAGATCTTAGGGAGCTTACATCTCTTGTAACAGAATAAGCAAACCTACCCCTTTTGCTCTGGAAAAAGACACTATCTCAGTCTCTCAAGGCAAAGTGCAAACTTACTGTGAACCCCAGAGCAGGACACTGCCTCTGTCTTCTAAGGCTGTTTTCTATACAAACACCTTTGAAAAGATAATCCAGAACAAAAGGCAGCTAGCGCTCTTTTGGCAAGACCTACAGAAATGAAGGGAGCCAGGGAGAATTATCTCACAGCAAGTGTATTTTGTGCTTTCTTGGGTCTCCTGCTTTGTGGGTAGAAATGAAGTCCTTTAGGACACGGCTAAGCATCGTGGGGTCAGCAGCCTCTCAGAGTAGCCTGTTGTTTACATAGAACTTTCTGCCTTGTTTTAAAAGACTATTGTGGAAAATCCATCTCCTGTTGCCCATCCTGGGATTGGAGTAGATTTCCTGTGTATCCTGAGTTTGCCAGCCCAAGGAGGCTCCCTGGGAGGAAATGGTCGTTACAGAGTGAACTAAAAGTGTGTGGCTGCTGATGTAAAAAGCAAACAACTGTGACCAGGGACCGAGGGACTTCAGAGGCCAGGCAGTGGAGCAGAAAGAGGTGAACTCACTCTGTAAAAGCTGTGCGAGGCTTCCTCCCACTCACATGCCATCTGGGTCCCTGTGCTGGCTGGCGCTGGCCCTCTGAGCTTCCAGAAAGCCCCTTCACTGTAATAGCTGAGTCAGTCCCACCCATAGGTATATGTATT